ACCACGCTCACCAGCAGCTGCCCAGCAACACCCCTTTCCAGGCGGGCACAATGCCATTCACTGACCTAGGGGTATCGCCAAGCCGCACGAGCACCCGTTCGCAGCCCTATAGCTCCCGCAGCTTGGCACCTTCGGAATGGCCTAGGTCAGCGAGTGGGGCTCTGCATGGCTGGAGAGAGGGGTTGCGCAAGTGACTTTTCCGTTCCCCACTCGCGCGCCTCCCAGGCTCACAATGCCTTTGCTTAACTCTCCCTGTAGAACCAGGGCATCTCTGCTGCTGCCGCAGCCGCCTTGCTTTTTCTGCGGCTTCCAAAGCACGGAGGTAGGATGCCAAGACTTCTCTGGAAGTACGCTCTATGGTTGTATGCTCTGGGAATACGCTCTGCCGGCAGTTATGGTCAACACAACTTTAAAAAGATTTTGAGACTTTAGAACAGGGGTCCCCAAACTTGGCAACTTTAAGATTTATGGACGTCAACTCCCAGAATTCTCTAGCTGGCTGGAGAATTCTGGGAGTTAAAGTCCACAATTCTGCCAAGTTTGAAGACCTCTGCTCTAGAAAGAGTGCAGAAAAAGCAAGAGAGATGATTAGGGGGATGGACACTAAAACATATGAAGAATTCTGTATGTCTAGTTTAATGAAAAGAAGGACTAGGGGAGACATGATAGCAGTGTTCCAATATCTGAGTAACAGTGTTCCAATATCTGAGGGGCTGCCACAAAGAAGAGGGGGGGATTAACCAAAGCACCTGAAAGCAGAACAAGAAGCAATGGATGAAAACTAATCAAGGAGAGAAGCAACTGAGAACTAAGGAAACATAGAACAATTAATCAGTAGAACAATTTGCCTCTAGAAGTTGCGGGTGCTCCAACCCTGGAGATTTTTTAGAGTTTTGATAACCATTTGTCTGAAATGTTATAGGATTTCCTGGTTGATTTCCTAGATTAGAAGACCTTCAAGAACCCTAACAAATCCTAAAATTGTCACCAGATTTTGGAAAATAAAATCCCAATTTTCAATTTGAATTTAGGGACTTAAATTGATCAGCAGGTTTCAGCTATTTGCTGCATTCTTCAGAGGAGGTTACATATTTTAAACAAGATAACTCATTAAGTCACTCAAATATTAACAGATCTCTTAGGCAAATAAAGAAATGAGGAAATTAAGCAATTACTTCCAGTATCTGTTAGGACTTAACAAGAGAAGTGTACACCTACTCCAAATTATTGGAAAGAGACATTGTACACAATGTTAATCAAACATGTTGAACTGAGTGACAATTGCTAAACAGGACTTTGTCCTTATGGTTTGTAAGGTTCTTCAAACTTTGCAACCGAAAGACTTGCATCCTACCTTTCCCAAAGCAGAGCATCTAGTCCTGTGAACAACAAATGAGATCTAACAAGGTCTAGCATAGTAAAGAAAGCTTTATATTAAATGCTGTGGAACATTCTTATTTATGAGCCTGGTACCTCCTATATACAGTATTTTTGGCTACATATCTTCAGTATTTTCAGGGAGAATGGAGATAGATGATATTTAACTAGGAATAATAGGAGATATTCAGGGAAATATTGAACCAGGGCAAAAAGAAAAGGTGGAAGCTAACATGAATATAAGAGGGTGCAAATCCTGTAGCAGGCTTTGAGTTCTAAACTGTGGTGCACCTCAGCCCCAATCCTTGGCAAGCTGTTGCATGGCTCCAGGCAAAGTCAAGTGGCCACTGTTATATGATATCTGGGTAACGAAACACAGGTTCAAACCCCACCTCAGCCATGGATGAAGCCACTCTTTTTCTGCCCAACTTGGCTCATAGGGCTGTTTTTCTGGTGGTGGTGGTGGTGGTGGTGGTGGTGGTGGTGGTGGTGGAGAATACAAGAAAGGAGTGTTCAATGGCCACCATATATCTCCATCCCTCCCTCCCTCTCTGTTATAGGGGTAAAGGTATGGGGGAGCCCAACATCTACTCTCTTCTCAATCCTATAAGATTCTTGGGTGACTTTGGGGAAGTTACTTCCTCTAAGTCAACCTACTTCACAGGTTTGTGGCAGAAGGCTTTTGTATGTTTCCTTGTGTTTCTGAACTCTCATAAATCAACAAAAGCTATGAGATCTCAAAAAACTTCTAGAAAGTTTTGTAAAAGAAGGCAGAAAGAATACTTTTGAGGTCTTAAAAAACTCTTTGAAGAATCTAGCTTACAGTGGGAATATTAACTTGTTAGCCTTATAGGCATTCTTTATTATTATTTTCATGTGGCTTTCACCAGTAATACAATTGCCTGCAGCCTCACCGTATACAGTGAATAATAACTGCCTTGAAGCTATCAGCTGCAGCTGGTCCTACCAGGAACAATATCAGCAACATCACTTTACAGAAACACTCCCAATCTGTTGTCCCTAGCATTCCTTGGATTATAAAGTATACAAGAACAGGATGCAGTGCCTGAAAATTATGGGAGCTGAAGTTCAACTCACCTCAAAGACAGCAGAAGTCAATTTCCGTTATTCTGCATTTTAAACACTTAAACATGCTTTGTGCACATTCCCCACCCCTGCCCTTACCACTCTGCCAAGTAAATGGCAGGGTGTACTAAGAGATTCTAGCAGAGGAAAAATCTGAACTGGCGAATTACCTCATTTTCCCAACTGCCCCATATATAAACATGCAGCATTATAGGGTGGCTACTACAACAGGTAACTCTGAACCTCAAAGGACACATTGGAACAGCTTCTGATTGATTTCAGCCTAATTTCTCGACCCTCGCTGGCATGATTCAATTTATCCAATCTGTATTGATGGGACTGATGGTTAAGGCATTGGGCTAGAAACCATAAGACCATGAGCCTTAGGTATAAAATTACCTAGGTAATCCTTGAGCCAATCACGCTCTCTCACTTTACAAGGTTGTTCTGGGGAAAATAGGAAGAGGAAGGAGTATTAGATATATTCACTGCCTTGAGCTATTTATAAAAACAATAAAGGTAGGATATAAATAAGTAAAGTAAATTTAGGTTGGGGCCAAACAGCTCCCCTAAATTATGGGTTAAACTGCACAACTTCTCAGGATTTTGAGGCATGTTCATCAAATTCCATCAAATACTGAAGAATATGTACATAGCATAACTGTAGTGCAGAAATTATACCCTGACTCTTATCCCCTAATGTATCTTAGAATGCACTTTCAACAGCTGGATTCACGAGTGGTTAATCTGGTTAATAAAGTGAACCCATTATCTGAATTTGCCTACACCTTTGAAACAAACTAAGCAAATGACTGAATTTGCAGAACACCCTAAGCTATATCTTTTTTACAAAAAAAAACCTCCACACCTAATAAGAATTAACACTAATGAATTTAGCACTTCAGGCAAATATTACTGCTATTTGGCTAACTGATTTCATTAAGCATGTTGTATATTCCTAACCAATGAGTAAAGAATGTATTGCCATTGGGAATTCAATACTACATGTTATGCAAAGTAGCCGTGGGTGATGCTGCAGTCAGTCCTGGCTTACACAAGACTTACACAAGACTCATATTTGCAAATTGCTGGCACTGTTACATTTTAAAAAAAAGATGCTAAAATGCAGTTTGTTAAAATGTCTTACAAACAGACTAGTCATTTAAAGAGAAAGCAGACTGTATTAATATATTTTATGTATTACTTACTTACTTAAATTTATCGGGTGCCCAATTCCAGTGGAATCTGGGCACAGAGAACTGGAAAGAACATAAAATAGCTAAAAACATTAAATCAAATACACAGACCATCCTAAATAATCTAGTAAACAATACAGCAGACCTTCCTCCTACTTTATTTATCCTCTCATAGTTGAGGTGAGACCCTGGGACAAGTCCAGCAACAACAGAGCTCCTGGGTCCATCATTCCCCCAGGATGATGAGGACAAAGAAGTACAAGGAAGATCTATTAAGGTTAGAGGCCTCTTCACCACCACTTTCTGTGCAGGATGGCACAAACGACAAAGATGGGAGAGGGAGATCATTAAGATACTTTGTCATAAATGTCCAGATTGCTAAGCACCCAATTTTTGACCATGTGACCTTGGAGATAATACAATAGCAGTAAATGAGAGGACTGGTCATATGTCCACTTTTTTAGCACCATCCTAACTTTGAACAGTCACAGAACAAATGATTATTTTCTACTGCCTGAAATGAGAGTCCAATGATGGTGTACCATTCTGTGGAGCTTCTGTATACTGTTCTCTGGGTCTGGATCCTAGGGTGCCTCTTTGGTTCTCTGAGGAACTCAGAGATGAAACATCAGAAATGGTACAGGAGAACGAAGACTATAGACCCTAGAGACTATAGAACATGGCTCAAACTTTTTATTGATATTTTCCACACCGGGGTAAAGGCAGCAAAATGTATTTTACTATTCTATCATCTCCTTCAATAGCCAGCCAACAGCCTTAAATAAAGCAAGGGAGGTCTGTAGGGATATTGTGAAGAATATTCTAGGCATCTATCAAATGGGGTTGTTTCTTTTTTGGTGTGTGTGTGGGGGGGGGGGTGCCATCAAGTTAGCAAAGCCAAGTTAGATATACCAAATCCCAAAGGTCCACCATCACTGGACTAGAATCACTGGACTCATTTGATTACTAAATTTCATCAATATATTTGGGTCATATCTATATAAATGCCTCCTTGAGCTTCTATAGAAAAGGTAGAGCATAAACCCAATAAATAGCAATAAGCTTCTATTAAGCCCACTCTTTTTCATACAATATTAACCAATTCCACTTCTCCAGAAAGTATGTTTCTTCCAGCATCTGGAATTTAGGAGTATACTTCTGCTGAAACAGAAACTTACATAAGTGGTTTCATCCTCTTAGACACAACACTTCGCATGTTGAAATGAGACAGAATTAAATTCTATCTGAGGAAAAGAAAGCACCCCAGATCCTTTTCCCACTTGAAATGCCAACCTATCCCTTTGCCCCAGCTCCCTATAGAGGCACTATACCCCCACTCACTCTGGGGTGTTGATCCAGATGATATCCAGGTGGCAGTAGTAAACACACTCTTTATCTTTGTAGGTGTAGCAAGTACAGCGTTTGGCTCTGTGGTGGACCTCCCCCAGGTCAGCCACGTTGTCCAGTTTGGAGCTGGTAGATGAATTCAGCCTTCCGGGTTCTGTGCTGGTTTCTTTGCTGACTTTCTCTGAGAGTCCCAGAAATCTCAGCCCTGTGCTGTTACTCCTGCCCACACTGGGAAGCAACAGGGGGTGAGAGGTGGGTAGTGAGAAACCTGCAAATTGTGGAGGAGGGGGGAAGTGGGGGTGGGGAAAAAGAGGCCAAATTAAATAGAAGCTGTTCCTAGCAAAGCAGTTGAGTCCTGCAACAAACTCCTAGTGCCACATCTTGAAAGTAAGTGGTGTCAGGTTTGGATTTCTTTTTCTCAACTTCTAGAATTACAACTGTGACAAATCACCAGGCAACATTTAAACAGAAACCACTCAGATGCCCCCCACCTGGAGTTCACAGTAATGAATGAAAGCTGGGGAAGAGATCAAGAAAGAGAAATGCAAAACAGAAAGTTAATTATAATGCAGCAATAAAAAAAATATTAGCATGGCTAATAAAACAGTACTATTGGGACAAACTTAACAAAACTTGTTTTTCCCAAAACTGTTAGCATATATAACAAAATTCAGATTTAGTAAGGGGAGAGAAACCCTAGTTTGTACAATTAACACACTAGAGAAGGATGGCATCAAATGTGTTTATTACTGTCAGACAGGTGGTCAGTAATTTGAAGAGCCATTTGCAATTTGCAAAGATTTATGTAAAGGCTGCTTCAACTATAGTAATGAAGCTCAAAGAGGTAACTGATGAGAAAACATCTTGAAACCCCCGCATTTTAAGCATCCTCTAAAAAGGTGGAATTCAAATGAGATCAAATCCAGCCTGAAAGCATCAAAGAGGTTTCCAGACACAATTCAACAGACTCTTCAGAACTCCAACCCAGAATCCTGGAAGCAATTGTTTCATTCAAACAAACCCAGCTAGAAATATTAGTATTATGTTTTTCCATCTTCAAAGCACTCTAGCTAGATACTGTCACAACAAGCCTGCAAGGCCTGCCAGGGCTCTCACCTCCAAATTCCACCCAAGACTGTTTATATCATCTCTGGGCTGTTGGCTAGTTCTTATTTTAGGATTCTCTGGTGCCAGTTTCACAGTCTGCCTCTCCACCATCACAATTCCTAGTAAAAGAAATTGGATTCTTTTTTCTTCAGAATCGAACACACATGATTTGGCCACCACATATATTATCAGCAACATAACACCTTACAAAGAAAGGATCTCTCTTTCCCTTGATAGAAAGAAATAGTGTAGAATTATAGGGCTGGGAGGGACCTCGGAGGTCTTCTAGTCCAACTCCCTTGTTCATGGCAGAAAACGTTTTGTTTTGTTTTGTTCCATCCATACATCAAGAGCAAAATATATTTTCCCTTGACGTGCAGAACGAAAAAAAACATTTCTGCATATTTCCTATGGACTAGCATTAACGATTGGGGATAAAAGATAACCTTAAGGAAGTTGGCAACTAAAAAGCTTTCAAAAATTTAAACGATGGCTTTAGAAGTGTGATTTCGGAAGTTAGGAGCTCTCTGTCCGATGCAGCATCTTGCTTTTTTATATGCTTCAAAAACATTAAAATTGTTATAATTATGTAATTGTTTTTTAAAGAAGTGTATTGCTTTCTTAATTTATTCGGGATGCCTCGATTTCTCCGAGGCCCGAAACAACTTTATTTACGAAGAAATTCCTGATGCCCATTTTCCAGGCAGTACCAGCGAGCCCGTATTCCGGGCAACCAAATTCCAAGCCAACTTGCCTAGCCCCGCGGTGGAAAAGCAACCTTTCTTTCGCGCGGCTAACTGAAAGCCGCTGTCAAGAATCATCAGGCGAAATAGGCATCTCTTGCAACTTTTTATTTATTTCGTTAGTTATTTTTCCTTGCATTTTACCTGCGCTCGAGAGAAATGTAAGTCCAACCAGTATCAAGAATCCCCGCTCCATGAAATCCAGATTGCAAGCTTCTCAACTTGCAGCAAATTCCGGGAGCAAGAGAAACGCTGTCAAAAAAAATTAAATAAATCACAAATCCAAATCCGGTTAATATTTGCAACGCGTCAAATTTCTCCTGGCTGGCTGGCTGGCCGTCGCCACGCGCGCCCAGGTCTTCTCAGCGCCTGGAGTCTCGAAACGCCGGGGGAGCCTTCCTTCCACCTTCCCCGTTTTTGTAAGCTAGTCCCAAAGAGGCAAACGGGACAAAGCCAACTTGCGCTCCATAACTTGCCTGCTCTTTTCTCGATCCTTTCTCTCTTCCTCGGCAGCGTTCAATCCGACCCTAAACTGGACTCTGGTTTTTCCAGGCAAATAAAATAAAGAGCACATTAGACGCCGTCGAGCAAAGAGCCGTTTCCAAGCGCGATCGCCTGCCTGTTATCGCTTCGTCTGTCCAGGCTGTTGCATTGTGCTTCCTCCGACAAGACGCCGAGGCAAGACCAGCTGGCACGCGCTGCTCCCACGCCGAGACCACCGGACCAGCCAACTGCAGCCGAAAGCGAGAGTCTGCGCGGCGAGCGCAACGCCGCACTTCAAGGGAGCGCTTCACTTTGCTGTGGGCGGGGCGGGGAACCCCGGGAGAAGATGGGCGCGGCTCCCCCAGAGGTCCTGGAGCTGGTTGGTTATGCCTTAGGCCGATTTTACATGCTGAAGTCCGTCGAGGCTGAGAGAATCCTTTGGCGAGGATTCAAGGGATACCCATGCGAAATACTAGAATGAGTTTCTGTAAAAGGATTTGTCCAAAGATTTCCGTGAAAACATCAGAACTGCCCGGCTCAGCTATAGGCAAATATAGGTTGCGTTTACAACATCGAACAGGGCTATCGTTTAGTTTGATTATTGCAACCAAGCTAAGCCGTGGTTTTGTGAATTCAACAACGAATGGCTGAGTTCACAAAACTAGCAAAATTGTAAACTACATAGAAATATATAGCCCTCTGCCACCTAACCCATGCAAGATTGTCCACTCCTTCCTTAAATGATAGCTCACAAACCACAATTAAATTCATAACAGGGTGCTAAACCAAAATTAAACCAGATTTGCATTGCATGAATCTAGTTATTATGGCTCAGTCAAGCTATAGCTAAAATAAGCCAAATAAAGCTTTGTTTCAATGCAGCATCTCTTATATAGGTAGGCTTAATTAAGGATATGCATCCAGGATACCTCAGTGTTTCCCCACCCCCATCCTGCTGAAAAAACTCACTAACTTTCTCCATGGTTTGGTTCACACACATGCTAAACAAGGATTTGCATAAACTCAAATCAACACAATTATCTCAATTCACACAAAATGCTAAGCCAAAAACGACCAACCATAGGATGGTACACTTGTGTGAATTTAGTCTTCCTCTTCCTTATCAGTAAGGCTGAAAAGAGGGAACCAAGTGATGTTTATTGAAGTTCCAGTAGGATCTGCTTTCAAAACTGGCTAGCCAGGTGCTCACAGGGAAGAGTCCATTGATTTATTAATGTCATGACCTTTATATATCTATATATTATGTAAGTACAAAGGAAGCAGTATAGCCTTTATTGTCACCGTACATCATATATACAATAAATAAATAAATCTAAGCTAATGCCAGATCACATTTAGCAGGAATAATGCAAAATACAAAGCTCTTGAAAAGTTCTTTCTAAAAATCTGCAGTTCCTAAGTGTGGCTAAATGCCCCTGCCAAAAGCAACTAACTATGCCTCATTTACAGAAGAGCCACTGCCATAATACACCATACAACTCTGTCACTGGTAAATAATTTACACTGCCTAGATCTTGTGCTGAAGCACAACAGCCCAACTTGTCAATGTTTGTTAAGGAACCATTTGGTTCAAAAGGATAATAAAATTGAAGGTCAGGAACATGTAAGCACAGCACATATAAAAAGCACCATTTGAGAAATATAGTTAATAGTTGGTTGCAAAGTGAATCAGATATTTAGACTGGATTTGGTATTTTTATCCATCTATCCAATCCTTCCCAAGGACCTGGCAAATATTGTTTGGTGGAGTTAAAAGTATCATTGCAGGATATTTGTTTGTTTGTTTGTTTGTTTCATCAAGTATGAATT